AAAAATTATACTGTTTTTTTCAATTTTAAAAAAAACAAACAAAAAAACAGAACATTAAACCCAAGTTCTATTGGTAAAAAATCAGCATTCAAAGAACTTTCTTAAAATACAAGTTCATATTGGGTGATATTTAAATGCTTATTTCCTTGTAAAATGTAATGTTTTGGTGAATGAGTGTTAAACTCTCAGTAAATCAAAATTCAATTTCATTTTATGCATATCTTTGATTGAAATTGTTTCATGACAAATTTGTTATCAATATTTCAAAAAAATAAACTGAACTCCAACTTTAATGAAATTATTTTGTAAATTATCTTATTTGAGCATTAAACTTAAAAAAACACAATTGTCTCTTTTCCATCATAAAGAAATTTTTCTTCCTCAACAAATGGTTCTTATTTAAAAAAAAAAAAAATACAAGAGATATTGTGAAGACAAAGTTTGAATAGATTTTCCAAAAATCAACTTTAGCATTGGGTCATGAAATAACCCTTTGTATTAGCTTAGTAATTTCTATCATTAAGTGTGTATAGAATGTACCAAATTTGTAAAAAAGGGTTAGATATAAACCTTTGTTGATTTGCCATTGTATGGTTCACATTGACCTTTTTTTTTTTATTATCTTATAAAAAAAAAAAAAAACATATGTGAAATTTCTTGCATTCAATTAGATGAAAAGTTTCATCAAAATGAATTAATAAATACAAAATGCCAAAAGAATTTGAATATTTAATTACATTTTTTTTAAACCTTTTATATGAACAAACTAAAAATTTTGAAAAGCAAAGGAAATTTTTTATTCATGTTTCATGCCAGTTATCTTTATGAAAACAAAGAAATTTAAAACCATTTTTTTTATTTTACTGAAAATTACTTTGAATATGTAGTTGATAAACTGTGGTTTTGCATTCAACAGTTTATGAATAATAAAACTGATAATATATATATTTTTATATATATATAAAGAATGAAAATTCATTTATGTAAAAAGTGAAGCATTTTAAGAAACAGAGTTTTCATTTTTACATATTTTAAACCAACACTATCTATAATATTTTTGTTATCCCTCTCGCATTGGTACTTTTTCCAAACTTTAAAAAACAAGTTCAATCTTTCATCTCTAAATTTTGTCATCTAACTTTACTCATCTACTTAGAATCAAACATAAATGCTACTTATTTCTGATCAATAAGAAGCATCCAGTTAACTAGCATCTACTTAACATGGGGCCTCCACTACAAAATATGTCATGGAAAGTACTACCTGTGACTATAAATGTTCTAACCCTTTAATTTCTTCTAAGCCATTTAATTTAATTTAGGCAGATAAAATGTCTGCCATTATAGCAAAGTTGGAGATAAAATATATTGTTTTATGCATTTATTTTGAAATTTTCCCTTTTATTTACAATTCCATTCATTTTATTAGTCAATTTTGATTTTCATTTATCACAATAAATAAACATTTCTTCATTATGTCTGGAAAGAGCTGTAGCTGCTGTACTAAAGATTGTAATTCAAAATATGATATTGAACTATTTTGAGCCTGTTCTTGCTTGATAAAAAGACTAGGCATTTCCACTATTTGAAATAAATTTTCTATATTTAAGTTTAAAATGAATTTTTAAAAAGTAAAAAACATTCTTGAAGATTTTATTTTATGCTTTAAAAAAAGTTTAATCATTAAATTTATTATTTCCATTAATTAAACAATTCTGGTGTATTTCAGATAGAAACTATATTATTTGATTGTCAAATTTAAATTCAAATTTTTAAATTTTCTTAAAATTTTCATTTTCTTAATTATAAGAAATTTGTAAACAAACACAAATTTATTGATTTTGAAAATATTTAAAAAAAAAGTCCTCATGTTATTTTAGTAAAATTAAAAATTTAAAGTAATCTGATTTTTAAATGAAAAACTTTCTTACTTATAGCATAAAAAAATAATATACAACCAATTATTAATGAGCGGTCATGTTCATCTGATCAAACTATTGATGGATTGTTGAATGAGGAATTGATGATACTATTTGATTGACCATAAAGGACAAAATTTTAAAATTCTGAGTTAACGGTTTTTTGGTGGGTTTTAGCTACCTAGTAAACAAACAGAAATAAACATTTTTTCGCAATTTTTAAAAAAATTCAAGATGCAAAAATAAATAAAATACCAATTTAAAAGTAATTTAATAATTTAAAAATGGTAATTTAATTATTATTTAATAAATCAAAATTAAATGTGACTTTTCAATCCAATGTATATAGTTTCTGTCTGAAAATCACCATTGATTTTTAATTTTTATAATAAATTTAAGCTTTTAATTAAATATTTATTCCTTCTTTTAAGTCTGAGTTTTAAAAAATTATTCTATTTGAGTATGACCCACTAATACAATACAATAATAAAAAATAAAAATATTTAGTGAAATAGTAAATGAAAAAAAAAGAAAAATTACTTTAAAATTTAAAGTTTAAATTTTACACTTTTAAAGCTGAACGGAAAATATAACCTGTTAGAAAGCAACTAAGAAACAAAATGTTATGAAAAGGCCACGTAAAGGGACAAAACTCTTAGATCATGTGATCTTGTTATAATAATGGCAATTTCAGTATATCATACATGGGAATAACGAATGTATTAAGTAAAAAAATACAACATAAAAAATTATTTTTAAAAAAATTAGCACAACTAAATTTATTACACTTAGCGATTTTGGACTCGTAAATTTTTTTTTAACTTAATTACTACATCACCTCAAGGAACCAGCCTAATACAGAGCTTTACACGATTTTAAACTATTATAAATTATTATAATTAAAATATCTTAAAAAATGAAAAAATTCTTGTAAAATTTAATTATTCATCAGAAAAAATTTATTTCTTCAGACAATAATGTCCTTACTTACAAAAGCAATTAAAAGCTTTTCTAATTAAGTAATATCATAGTTTTATTGGATTCATTATTTTTCAATTCAGAGCAGATTTTCAGTTAGATAGCTCAAATTTGAAAAAAAAAAAGGAGGTTATTTACCATCTCCGAAGATGGTAAATAACCTGCAAATGTTTTTTTAACAAAAAAAAAAAAATTTCAGGAACCAAAAAAGTTTTGGGCAAAATTTCATTAAATTAAGTAAATGTGGGGTAACATATTTAAAAAAAATATATTTTTTACCAAAATTTTCTAAAAAAAAATATTTAAAAAATAATTTCATTCATTTGTGAATAAGTCCTGAAAATTTCATTAAAATCGGACAATTACTTGATTTTTACAAGAATTTCCAAATCAATATGTTTTCAACGGAAAAAAATCGCAAAAAAAAAAAAAAAATGTATTTTCTGTGACGCCGCGATGAGGTAAACAAAAGAAGAATTTAACCAAAATTTCAAACGTGTTAGAAAGGATTAAAAAATTTCAAAAAATAATTAAAAAATACTTTGGTCTATCATCTTAATAATAACATAAGCATTTTGATGATAAAACTTTATTTTAGTTAAGTTTGTGGCATTTTCATTACGCTATATGCTGTTTTCCCACGAAAACAGAGGACAAGGCTATAAAAGACAGTTATAAAATCAAATATTTTGTTCTCAAGCAACTGATGATGGATGGTATTAGAACACTCATGCTCATTACAGTCTGCATTCAGATGCTTTTAATGCCTGTCAATATTCAAACAATGTCACCTGTGATTGTTTCTAAAAAAATGGTTATAATGAATGTCTTTTAGTTTTAGGTTTCAGATACCATTTTACAATCAGAAATATACCCACATACATGGAAGGTACAATGAGTATGTTCAGGTTATCTAGAGATAATAGTTTATCTAGTTTATCACTCAATAGTTTAATAAAAAATTGTTGAATGTAGTAGAGCAATGTTTGTATTTTAAGAACTTGAATTAGAATCGGTTTCAAACCTCTCATATAATGTATCAATAATGCTATCACCTGATATGGCAATGTATCACAAGTGACCTAGAATGCATCATAAAGGATCAACAGCCCAGCATTCATCTGCATTTTATATTGTTTTTCAAAAAGCCTCTTCATACTCCTCCATTTTCCAAACCCATGTTGTGTTCTTGTGTGATAATTTATAAACTGGCTCAAGGACATCATAAATTCAGTAGATCCCTATTATAGTAATTAATCATGTCTAAAATTAAAAATGATTTCAGATGAGTAAATTTTGCAAATAAATAGCTTCAACTTTCTCTGCTTATCAAGAACCCTATATATTTGACCTTGTCTTCTAGGAAATGACATTTCATTTTTTGAAACTTCAATTTTTTTTCTTCCATCTTCAAAACTCATTCCAAATTTGAGATGTTCTTGCTCATTTCTTATGCTTATAAAGTATGTAATCTGTTTGTACAACTGTATAGGGAATCCCACTAAGCTTTTGAAATATCCCTGCTACACTATATCTACATATACAATATCCCTGCTATACTATAGACCCCAAACTGGAGTAGCTTATAGTGCCATGTGTTGATTGTAAGCATTTCAGAGATTAAATTTGGTGAATTTCTCTCCTCAATTCAGTGTAGCCAAATAGTCTTCAGTGCATGGAACAAGATAAGAATCATATTTTGTCTAAAGATTTATTGTCATTTTATTAATTACCATCTTAAACAAGCCATAAGTAAGAATCGGAAAAACATTTTCTCAGTATACTTGTATACTTCCAGATAAAATTATCACTTTGCATACAATTAACTTTTACGTTTTATTGAAGTATAATAATCTTTAGTGAAGAAAACTAATTATTATTATACTTCAATGAAATGTAAAAGTTAAAGATTTCAATAGAAAGATCAAAGTCATTATATCTATAAACAATAACTCCCAGCAAAATAACTAAAAAAATATATTTTTAAATATAAAAAATAAAGATATTTTTCAGAGAAACCTGAAGACACACTGTTGTCAAACATTTTGCATGAAACACTATAATACTAAAATGGATATTCATAGAAACTGAATTATTTACTTACTGTATTCAGTCCCTCTACACTGTTTCTCTGGTACCTAGGCATACTAGGTTTTGGAATGCTATGTGGTATTGACTTTGGTTGTGTGAAAGTACTCTGTGCTGGTGGTAATGCAGAATGGTTTGCAGGCACTGGGCTTTGTCGTGGTTTTGAAAATTCTGTCTGTTTGCTGCCTTCTTTGGTCTTCTGAAGGCGCTGCCTTATCAGCTGAAAAAATAATATATACAAATCTTAAAACTATTGCTTATCCAAAAGAATTACTATATAGAGATGTTTGATCAAAGAGTATAAGGACTGTTGGTATGTTAGGAGAGATAAAGTATTCAGAATGAAGCTGCTTGAAGTCTGTTGCCCATGCACACTAGTTATAATGTCCTCGCTCACTTCTGTTATTTATAGCAGTGCTTGGAAGGAAAGTGTGTAGAGTGTGGTCATCATTCCATACCATAGGTGCCATCAATGACCATGGCAGTGAAAACTGAACAGAGAATCTGGATCAGATTTTGCAAAAGGCTTGATGATACCTGCACAGAGACCTATGCAAAGTTGCAGAAAGTGTATGGAGAAGAGTGTATGAGCCATGTACAAGTGATTCAAATGATTCTAAGATAGCTGACCAAATTTCAACAGGGACACACATTCTGGGAGACCTGCAGCCAGCAGAACTGATGAAAACATCATAGACATGCATGCAGCTGTTCAGAAAGAATGTAAAATCACTAAGTTGTCAGAGAATGTGAACATTAGTTATGGTTCAGTTCAGTCTATTCTCACTGAATATTTGGGTATGAGACTGCCAAGTTTGTGCCAAAAGTTGACTGAAAAGATCAGGTTTCAGCTGTGCTGGATCTCTTTGTGTCAAGAAAGATGAAAACCTTTTGAAAACGGTCATAATAGATGATTTGTGGATCTATGTCTACCCTTACCTCTCTGAGACCTAAGAAAGTATGAATGAGTTGAAGCAATGTGATGACACTGTTGACAATTTTCTTTGACTACAAGGTCATTGTTCATCATGAGTATGCTCCACCTGGTCAGACAGTAAACATGGATACAACCATGATATGTTGCAGCATTTTCAAGATGCTGTTCATCAGAAAAGGACAAAATTCTACCATGATAAAGCACCTTGCCCATTCAGTACATATTGTGCAGTAATTTTTTTTTTTTTTACCAAGATCAACATTCCCTAGATCTGACAACCACCATATTCCCCAGATCTTGACAACCACCGTATTCCCTAGATCTTGACAACCACCGTATTCCCTAGATCTTTTGCCCCTTATGAATTTTCCTCATTCCAAAAATCAAATCCCACTTGAAAGGAACAAAATTTCAAAATGTCAAGGAAATTCAAGAGAATGCAACAAGGTAGCTGCTTGCTATCCCAAAAATGGAGTTCCAGGAATGCTTCCATCACTGGAAACAACACTGAATAAAGTATGTGGCTTCAGATGGGGGATGACCTCAAAGGAAATTAAATGCTGAATTGATATATGTTGTAGTTTTCTTTTTATAGTACCAGCCTTGATATTTTTTTTATCAGACCTTATATATACACTTATGTTGTATTTTTTTTTATTTTGTTCACCCCGGAGCAAGATAATAATGCCACTAGAGTACAGGGGGTTACAGAGAGTGAGTGAAAGAGAATGAGAAATCTTTAGTAGGGAGGATTGAGGAAAAGACAATAAAGGAACAGGGTTCAAGAAGACAAAAGATGGTGATTGACATTGCATTTAAATTTTTGAAGAATGTAATAGAGAAGCAAGAAATCAAAAAGGTATTCCACAGGTGAGAAGTGCAAAAAGCTGTTAGAGTAACAGTGGTAGTTGCATATAGTTGTTATAACGTGCTTCATAGTGCTTATAACATAAGTAATGCTTCAGCTACTTGCCGTGACATCTGTATTAATTAGTCTTAGTCCAAATGGCTTCTTTTTCTTATCTCTGACCTGGAGTTCTTTATAGTTATGGACTAGTTCATATTTTGACTGGGGTGTACTATTTACTCCACAACATCCCCACTTTTGAAATTAATACTTTTTATAAATATTTTATTTTTTATTAGTAACTACCTGTCCTCTATCCAGTTCACCAACATACTTGACTTTGTAGCATTTTCATCTCAGATCCACTTTCAGTTTTTTTTTTAGTATACTTTCTTTTTCTGGAACATGTGCTTATAGGTTCCATGACTTGTTGTGGTGCTGGCACATCAAAAACATTATATAGCATTTTTATCAGTTCTTCCAATGTTTCAAATCTTTCATCAATGAACCATTTTTTTAGCTGATTATGATGCCAAATTTTATGTTCAAGTCTTTTCCCTTTTACCAGGTAAATCAACTTCCAAATTTTTGCTGATATTATGCCATCTTCCTACATTTCTTTGCCATCCTTACATGCTCTAAAGAACACTTTATCACCGATCTTGAAACTTTTGGGGTCATTTTTGTTATCCATTCATGTTTTTCAACTTGTTGATTTTACTTTTCTAACAAACATTAATTCTACCGGCAACATGGTTTATTGGGGTTAGGTGTTACACAGTAAACTCTCAAAAAAAGTTGAAGTTCTTCCTCATTTACTTTCTCAATGCTATTTTGAACATTCTCACAAACCATTCTGCTTGTCCGTTCAACCTTGGATGATACGGCGGGGGTCGTAATATGTTCAATGGAAAACATCTTACAAAAGTTTTTGAATTCTTACCCATGAATTTTGTTCCATTATCAGAGACTATGGTATATGGCATGCCATATCTCACAAATGAAATTCAAATTGCAAGAAATTCAGTCAATGAAGATGTTAGATTTTTGCACTTACAAATTTCCAGCCATTTAGTGAAACTATCAACTACCACAAGATAATGTGAGAATTCGTGAGAATTTTTTCTTTATTTGGTTTTGCAATGTGACTTTCTATGTCCTTTTTACCACACTTGTAACATTCTGCATTTTTAAATGGTCAGTCTTTTCCAAGATGTAATTTACCACATCTGAAACAAGGATTTATTCTCTTTTTTGTACATTTGTCCTTTTCTTGCACCAATGCACATTTTTTTTCTGAATTTCTTTAGTATCAGGTTTCAGACTTAGAATTGTTTGGCAATCGTCCATTTCTTACAGTTTTTGTTCAATTTGCATTAAAATTTTCATTTATATTTCAGCATTTTTCTTAGCTGTTAAACCTTGAACAAAAAAAACCCTTTGAATGTGTGGAGTCATTTCCTTTATTCTTTTTCACATTCTTTGTTGATGGTACCTGCATATGGGACAAAATCTATGTCCTCTTTTTTGGTTAGATTCATGCACCTCCAATGAGCATTAAACACAGAGCTCTTGTCACTAAAGATTCTCATCAGAGTGTGTTCTGTGTCTTAAAACCCAATTTCAGCTAGCTTTTTTGTAGTTGCAGTATTTTTCATATTCTATTGGAGCTACTTCCCACAACAACAATCTCATTTTTCTCTCATTTTTCCAGCCTCTGCATTCCAGACTGAATATTTGTTCATATTTATGAAAATATACAGAAAACATCAGTCCCTAATCAGGATTTTATACAAATTCTGATGGTGATTTGGACAATGTCTTGCATAAGAGATGTTGAAGAATTTTTTCTTTTCTACATAATTATGACCAACAACTCCTGTAGTGGTTACAAGTAATTGCTTTGGCTACTTGCTGTGACGCTTGTATTAATTAGTCTAAAGACTAACTCCAAACAGCTTCTTTTTCTTACTTCTGACCTTGAGCTCTTTATAGTTATGGATTAGTTCATATAGACACCAGAGTGTGTGTGTCTGTGTGTATTTACTGCACAACATTAGTCCAAAATTAAAATGGTGAGACCTAATTACCAATTTAGTAACACGCTTAAATTCATATAGTTGAGGCACCAGGAAAAAATGCTCATCAGAGCAGTTGCCATGAAAATATTTGTAGAAAAGATGCCTGGTCAGTATTAATTTCATTACAGATCATTCTTTGGATTTTGTCAAGAATCTCAAGATGTACAGCAGGAGCACCAGACCAGATATGGCAACAATATTCAATGCACAGATGAATGGTAGATTTATAAATGTGCAAGGTGGATTCTGATGAGAAAGATTTTCTGGCACGACACAGTAAGCCAACTTTTGTAGCAGTAGATATAGCAATTGATTTGATATTGTCACCTCCACTTCATGTCAGTGGAAAACATGACACCAGAAGGCATAGAGTGTTGCTCTCCTGTAGTTTAATATCAGCTACCCTGATGGCAGGCAGAAAAATTTCTCTGTGGTGATTAAATGAAAGCAGTTTTGTTTTGCAGGCATTAAACTTTACAAGCCATTTCTTGCCCCAGTTAACAACTGATTAATATTTTTATCATAGTATTACCATAACAATTCTTCCCTTAAGCATTAAACTTTCAAACACATATGAAAAAAATATATAAATGTCAAAAGTTCAACTTTTAATAGTGTGCTTAATGCTTAAAAAAACAAAATTGGGATGTGTGTTTGTGTTGCACATCAATGGAACACAAAAGTGTAGGTCTATACTCATTTTTCTATCAAGATGAAAGCTGCTCACAACAAATATATTGTTGTTAAAATAAAAATTAGAAAAATAAAAAATATTGCATTAATCTGAAAAACTAATTTCACTCTTTGAAAGTATATATTGTAGAAGTCAAGTGACTTACCTGCCAACATGGCTGCCTTCTTCTGTTTCCTTGTAATTATTTATTGTACTATGTACAAATGTGGCACAAGGCCGAAATGGGGAAAGGGGGAAAGGATGGTCATCTTCTGTCTTAACTTTAAATTTAGCTAGCTGCAATCACTGACCCAAACATACAAACAATGTTGCTTTCACCAAAACAACACATCCATTACATACCATTCTTCCTACATCCACCAAAATGCCTCAGAGACTCTATGAAGTTCTAACTAGTCCCCATATATACAAATCATTGTCTGTGGGAGGAGGGGAAATAAAATAACATCTAAAAACCCCAATGAATATTTACAATGAATACAAATCTATATACAAGAAACTAAACAAAAATTTTGTTAGTAGTAAAAACCCCCACAGCCCAAGCTGTGGCAGTAACATCAGTTAACTGGACGAAATCAAAGCGGGACTTAAAAAATTATAAAACATTCGTACAATCCATGCACTCATTACAAACACACACTCAATCAAACAACAACAAATA